TTTTCACCCTTGCCCAGCCCTCCCTTCAACCCCTCCAGTCCTCCCTATTTACAAAGATTTTGTTCCTATTTTTCCATTTTCTCAAATTAATTCCATTCCCTTCTATCCTTTCCCCTAGCCCTCCCACTTCCTTCCCCTTTGCCCCTTTTAAAGTGAGGACTCACAAGTCCAGTGTGAACACCAAGAATATAAGATTTTCCCCTTTGTCTGTTTGGGAATCCTCATTGCTTCCCTGGCTGCTGATGTGGTGAAAGTAACATTTAGTTTCACACTGAATATGAGATTTTTTCCGGTTGGTGTTTCTTAAGATTGCTTGGTATACACCTAACAGAAAGAGAAGTGATTGACAGAAAGGGGCAGGGACAATGTATGAAATAACAGTGCAAGTTGGTGTTACTGATGAAAGCTGATGTAAGAAATTTTATCATTTTTAGAAACAGTTAATTAGCAGGATATGACACTTGTTTTAAAGAGCTTGACACAAAAGACAAGGGAAAGACAACAGTGTGAAAAGACAGTGTTAAAGCCTACATTTGATTGATGCTCAGCTTTTCTAACACTAATGTTCTCTGGAAAATTTCCAGGAATAAGGTGCTCAGTTGTAATGTGTACAAAATTTTTCAGTTTTCTACATTGAATATGGACCTATGTTCTCAAGGCTACAACATAAACATACAAGTCAAATGAAATTTCTAAGATCTGCTTGATCCAGAGAATCAGGTTACTCACACTAAAATTCCCCTCTGTTACAACCTAGTCCACATTGCCCGATTTTTTTTTTTGGTACCGGGGATCAAACTCGGGTCCTTGCACTTTTGCAGCAGGCTGTGAAACCACTGAGCTAAATCCCCGGCCCTACATTACCTGATTTTTAAATGCAGAAAGTGACTTTTAGAGTGATTCTTTGTGCGGGATCACACAAATAATTATTTGCCATGCCCGGGTAGAGTACCAGCCTCACAATTTCAGTAACACTGCTAAGAATGATATAAGAGGTTATATCACCTCACAATCTCTGTTGACTCTCCAAAGTTTCCCTCAGACACTCATGCCATTGAAGTGGAAGAATCTGCTTGCTTTGCAAGTGTAGCTTCAAGGTGGATCCTCTTTTACTCCCAAAATTGTCTCTTCCAAAGCCATCCTATGAGAGAGTTCAGGCCTGACATGTTTGTTTCCTAGTCTGGGTAGTTTTCCTACTTTAGTAAATCCAGAAAAATATTACTGGGGGATCCTCTGTTCTCAAATATCATACTTTTATCACCCATGGACTTGATCATGTTTCTGAAACTTATTCTGGACAGTGGAGGCTGAATTGGTGTTCGTCTTTACATTATTTGCTTTTCCTGTCTTCTTCCAGTTTTGGCATATGTCTAAAAAGTTTTAAAATAAATAATCACAATTCTATATTATACACAATATAGTATCTGAGTCTATTTAGGCTGTGTGTGTAATTTATAAATAACAGAAATTTATCACTCATGGTTGTGAAGGCTGTGCAGTCCATGTTCCATCTGCTTGCAGATTCAGTTATGTCTTGAGGGCTTGCTCCATGCTTCACAGATGGTACCTTTTGGAAGTAACATAATGAGATAAAAGGGGCAAAGGAGCATCCCTTAACATTCTTTTGTAAAAACACTGATTTCAATCATGAAATTGGAGCTATCATTACTTAGTTACTTTCCAAAGGCTATGCATGTTAATTTATTTTTTATTTTTTATTTTTTTTGTATTAAATTCTTTTATTGGCACATTGTAGGTATACAACACAATTACATTTCTCATTGGGAATTGTACCTTTATATAATGCATCTTTTCCCCATTCCTAGCCCTCCCTTCACGCCCTCCACCCTTCCCTATTTACAAAGACTTTATTTCCATTTTTTCCATTTCTCATCAT